TGCTCAGAATATAATCTTGGGAGAGTTGACCAAGAACTGGTGGTCCATTGGTTGGGTCATCAACCAATGAGTGGTGAGAAATTGCATTTTGCATTGCTTGTTTTGCACATTGTTTTATCCTTATTATTTTCCTTTTCTTTCATGTCCAATTACACTGTTTTTATCTCAACCCCTGAGTTTTACTATTTTTCTGATTCTCTCCCTCATCTCACTGAGGGAGAGTGAGCGAATGGCTATCTGATATTTAGCTGCCTGCCGAGATAAACAACAGAGATTAAATCACTTGTAACTTCCTGCAAGCACAAGAAAATAAAAGTGAATACAGTCTTCTCATTTAAACCATATTTATTTATATGAACTAATACATTTTTGAGAGGCATTTTGGTTTACTTTAACCACATGCATACCCTGCCCTTGAACCCCTGGATTAATTCATGCTTTAAGACCAAAAACTGTTTGATCCAGAATATATATATATATGTATATATACATAAAATAACCTTACCCTAACTGTTCATAATTATTCTTTATTATTGATAAATTATTTTGATATAGAACAACTTGCATATTTTTTAAATTACTAACTTGGAATGTGTAAAGAAAATATTTTTTTTTTTTGCTATTTTCATATGATTTGGCCTACCAAATCCATTATGTTGTATTTGTCATGTAGATGCTTACAAGGCTTATAAAGCTGGTTAAATAAATTCTTGAGGTCGGGTTTTTTGGGATGCACTGAAGGATGAGCTCCTTGGTTAAAAGAAAAGGGTTTTTTTGTTCCATTTTAATCAGTATAATAGAACTCATTTCTGTGCCGTCCTTTTTGAACAAAGGAAATGAGAATGGGATTTAGGAGTAATATAACAACCCTAATCTGACTTAGTATTCCTATTTCTGTCCCCAGAGATATCCCATTAAAATCTGTGACTAGAACACTGCTCTTAGTAATTCATAGTCTGCCGGCTACCCTAGACACCCACAATTATTTTACAGAACAGAATATTTTGTCTTCTAATATGCATGCAATATAATATTTAGACTTGCAAATTTACATTTGTCTGTATTTTATTATAGTATGTGTTTAAAAATTCACTTGATTGCCTCCCTTGCCAGATAAGATATTTTCTTAGACAGTTTTTGTCATTTCTCTTTGTTATTTAGTAGTTCTCCAGTTCTTGTGGCAGTAAAAAATTATCATTACCATTTTGGTTTTTATAATGCTTTCCAGATCATCAATAAAAGTCTTACGTAATCTTGAAAGATATACAGACCCTATAGGACTGAATAACAACCGTACATCCTTAGTGATAATTTTCCCAATTATGCTTAGACTCTGAGATTTTCAGAGAAGCTTCAAGGACTCTCATGGATGTTGTTGCTGCAAGCAGTTTATTTTCTTACCAAAATGTTACATAGTACTGAGTCATGTATTTACAGAACCCTGTAAGTACTTTATTACAACAATGTAACTTCTGTAATGCAAACATTTGCATTCTAAAAGATGAAATTTCACAAAATTTATTAATGATATTTTTTGATATTATAAGCTGGTTCAGAATTGCTGTTTGTGTCAAAGAAAGCATTCCACTAAGACATTAGTGAAAATGCTGAGGGGTATTTAGTCAATTGAGCAGTAAAAGATCTAGGGGGAAGGCCAAACTTCCCACAGCTATGTAGGTTAAGCTGAAGACTCCCGAGGACCTTACACCCAAATCATTCACTTGTGCACATGTACCATAGTAGTAGCACACTAATTTTCTCTGACAATAAAATGCCATTGGCAGAAGACATGCTTTAGATAACAAAATCTTAGTTCAATAAACTTTCATCAAAATTAAGAGAAAGATCCAGCAAATCTGGAATATTGGTGTCTATCGCAATCTTACAATACTGGTGAACTAATCCTTGCCATAATTCAAACTAACATGGTTGCCAACATTATTTGCTGTTATTTTAATTGAAATTGGAAAACAATAGTGTATGAGTAAACAAACTCATGGGGTTTTGGGTTGGGGTTTTTTGAGACAAAAATTTGGTAGAATGGAAAAAAAGTTTGAGACACCTAAAAAGAAAAGTGATTATTTTAGGCTGTGACACAATGGGAAGAACATTCATTGTACTTTTTGGGGAGGCACATAGTACATAACTAGTAACCCTCCTTATTCAGTTGGAAGACTCATTAACTGAATACAAAATTCTCTAGTTATAACATGTACTTATTCTCCACTTAAATCATAACTGTATAAAAAGCTCAGCACAACAGAATAATTCTTTTAAATGCCTTTTATCTTTATTTATAATGTGAATCCAATCTAGCTTGAATTATACACATTTAATAAAGAATTTGTATTAGATCCAAGTCTTGCTTAGTAGAGAACCGGCACTGAGATTTCTGAGCTTATATGGAGACAATATTTCTTCTTGTACAATTAAGGAAACTGAAGAGAATAACAAAGTACACATAACAAATGATCTTGTTAATTCTTTAATCTTTACTTTTTCAAGTACAGTAAAAAGTTTGGAAAAAATTGAAGAGCACTTTTTCAATTATAAGTCTACCCTTAAAAGAATATAGTGGGATCACCTGGGTTTTCAGATTCCTAGTTTTAAGTCAATAATGCACAGTAAGACAAAAAGGGAAAAAAAGAGAGGAAAGAGAAATAATTAAGTTGGGCTAAAATCTAAAGAAGCAGGAAAATATAAGATCTTATCAAGCCAATATATTTTTAAGACTGAGATACAGAGTATAGAGGAGGATGCATGTTCTCAGGCTGAAATAATGTGTATATGCGTATATGGTATACTGTGGAAACTGGCAGCAACTTTTGTTTGAAATACTGTCTTACTGAAGTACCTGTCCACCTTTATGCCACAGAGCTCAGGGATAAAGAGTACCTTATCATACAACTTGCTTCAGAAATGTGTCATGATTTGAATAGGGGCAAAAAGTAAGAAAAGTGTGCTGTTTAACTGAATGTGGTTCATTAAACTGTCTGTGTTTTTTTTTCATAAATACTATTTTGGCAGAAGTATGGCATGGATTACACAATGAGCAGGGAACAGGGCAGCAATACAAAGGAACATCTTTTCCTCTTAGCTAGGTAGTTTGTCTTTCAGGTAACATATAAATGCCTAATAAAACCTTTGAATTAAAAGTGCTGCATAAATTGGTCCTGCTGATTCAATGGTGAATGGTTTTCTACTGCTCTTACGCAGTGTGGCAAGTGGTTTTTATAAAACTATTGAGATTTATATGAGTTGTAGTAGTCATTAGAATATTTTTTGTTGGGCACTATACAGCACTTAACAGATCAACTAGTCTGGGAAGCAGGTCCTTAATCTGTGAATAAACTCAGTATATTGGTTGAAAATATGAACCCAGTATATTGTTAAACAACAAAGCAACCACACTTTTGAAGGTATAAAACAACTGAGTCTGTTTCAGACTAATTAGTAGTTACTTTCAAGAGAAAGAACTATCTCATTATTAAATTAAAGAATTTGCGCCAGTGAAATTTAAGCCAGTGTAAAGAAAGCTTGCTAGATTGAAGCAATTGTAATGTACAAGCCTCCACAAACTGATATTTTGGATGAGATAAAGTTGTAAGAATCCTTAACATTTGTAAGAACCTGGTTCTTTAGAGATTATGATGTCTATATGTATCTGACACATAAACTGAACTGAATATCGATGAATATCAAAGAGGGCATATTGGGTATGTTTGTATGCATGACAATCCTACCGCCTAGTATTTAAAAACTGGATGACAGCAGCTGTACATTTGATTAATGAGAGACATTAACATTATTCAGGTGATTACCCAGCACTGCCTGAAGAATGGAGAAATGTGTTAAACTTTGAGATCTCTAACAGTTGTCTTATAGACCATGCTGGCATCGTTGGCCATTTCTATGGTGATAAATAAAAAGGATCAAGAGAACAAGTACTGGATTCAAATCACCTACACTGCTTAGGCCAGTATCACCTATCCCTTTGCTTTATTTTAAGTCAACTTTATTAATTCTGCTGAAACAAATGTCTGGATGTAATTTGGAAATAGTTCTCTCCATGCTAGCCCTGCCTCTGACTGTGCTAGCTTGGTCTGCTGCTGCTTGGTCACGCATTTCATATTGTCCCAACACATTTTTTTTCCTTCAGCTTCCACCAGATGTCAATATGACACATGCAGAGCACACAAATATGTTTTGGATTCACCAATACAGAGCTGCAGCAGAGCTCTTATACTATTTCAGACATTTCAAACTGCAAAATTCACACAAAATAATAAATGTACCCTAAGTCTCGGTAGACACCACACGGGTCTTTAAAAGGTCTAGGTCCACCCGCTTTGTAGCACAGATGCTCTCTGTCTGCTTTAAGTGTACCTATAAGAAAGATGGTCACAAGCTTTGTAGTGGGGTCTGTTGTGATAGAACAATTTTAAGCTGAAGGAGGATTGATTTAGACCAGACATAAAGAAGAAGATTTTTATAATGAGGGTGGTGAGGCACTAGAGCAGGTTGCCCAGGTAGGTGATAGATGCCCCATCCCTGGAAATAGTCAACGTCAGGTTGGACAGGGCTCTGAGCAACCTGATCTAGTTGAAGATGTCCTTTTTCATTTCAGGGGAAGTTGGACTAGATGGCCTTTAGATGTCTCTTCCAAACCAAGCTATTCTATGATTCTATGTACCTATTCATTCCACTTGGTCTCTGGACCAGAAATTGGTGCCTGATTTTCTTTTATACTAATAAAGACACAGTCAATTTATATTTTTTTAATTAAAAATAAACTATATATCTCCAGATACCACTCTTCTAAATCTGTCTGTAAGCCACGGTAAAAAAAATGAAAAAAATAAATCAGAATTCTCATTCTGTTGACCCTGGAATTTCCTTTTCAAATCAGATAATTACTAGAGAGACATATATGAAATTTTGGGTACTCACTGAAGCTCTCCACATGTACTGCTAACTTGCATACTGTATCTTGTCTTCAGCTGTTGCAGGGCGAATCATTTCCAAAATATGATAAATGGGATCTCCATCAAACAGGCAGTGGTGGAGGTGTAGATGAACAAATAAGTGGTGATTGTGATGATGAAGATGGCTGCGGAGGATCTGGAAGTGGAGAATTCAAAAGAGTCCTGAAAATCACAGACTGTAAGTGCATGATTCTCTTTCCTTCGTGCATTTAAATAGTAAATTAGCATATTTTCCACTAATACATGCCACTGAATTATCTTGGAAAAGATGTGGAAATGTTGTCTGCATAATGTTTCCAAGATTTACAGGAACAGGCCTGCACTGGTAGGATTCCTGTGAGCACGATATCAATATGAGTACCACTTTCATTGTAACTCATGTTAAAACATACTTGGCGTAATATAGACTGGACTCAACATAGTATTTTAGCCAAATAATAGGTGTTACAGTGACATGACCCTTTGAGTTACTACTTGTAAAATATAAGAGATTTGGCAGTTAAAAAGAGAAATTGTACTAATTTTTGATGGAAATGTGGCAAAATATGATGTTTAGTGATGGTAGCTGCATTTCGTAGAGAACCATTGGAAACAATGTACTAAAGAACTCAACAATAATGACAGTATTGCTTCTTACACATCTTTCTGTTTTCCTTACTGTTTTGTTTTGGTGTGTTTTGTTTTGGTTTTTTTTGTTTGTTTGTTTGGCTGGGGTTTTTTTAATTTTATTTTTTTTTTCTCTGAAACACATTTGTAACAATTTTCTTTAAAAAATTCATTTGATTGTACACTTCAGTGGAATGGAACTCCAATCATGAGCAAACAAGTGAGTGAACTACTTCTGCGAATCAGGGCGTCTTTCTACATCTCTTATTTTTCTTCCCAGTGTAGAAATATAGGAAGAGAAGGTGAAAATAGATGCAATTATCATTAAATTACATTTCTGCATTTTGTTTTTTTTTTTCTGCATTTTGCATTTTGCATTGCAAAATTCAATACTAACAGGTAAGAAGTCAAGGTTGGTATAAGTGCCTGAATTTATCTATACTTACTGAATTTGAGAATGCTGCATGTTTTCAGGCTTGGATGAGACCCCAAGTCCTTCTTGACTTGATAGTGAGGAGGCAATTTAAAAATGTGACTGTAGAGAAGCTGTAGTGTATGGTTGCCTAATTCTGTTTGAACAGCAGAAAAAAATGAGACTGAGCATTCTAGGCCATGCCTTAACAAGATAGTTTGTAATCAGCCTCTGATCTTCTTGAATGAATACTTAGTCTATACATTTTCAAGTCCTACTAGAGGCTCTCCAGATGGGATTTTGAGACATCTCCAAAAGAGTTTGAATACTTACTTCCTGAGAGTGCCCTTGAAGATTTTACTTTGAAAAAGAAGATAGGGATCAAATATTTAAAACCAGATGTTCTTTGGAATGCTGAGTATATTATATCTATTTGATAATGACACTCTATGGTATTGAAAGACTGTAAAATAGTCTTAGAATATGACTAGAGCTATTAAGAAAGTATTAAATGACAAAAGAACTGCAAGAAGAGTATATTTCATTTCAGCCTCTTCTACTGCATTAGAATTTTCTTTATATTGATATATTTAGTGTAATCTTTTCAAAATGTCAAAATTATAATTAGCCTTCATATTCTCTTTATACTACATGTCTTATAAATTTCCAGAATTATAAGCTATGTATTAGGCATAGTGAAGCTTGCATGTAATGGTGTTTCATTTGAACATTTTCTTAGAAATAGAACAAAAATATGAATCCATACTGTTCAGTATTTGACTTGTGTATAAATCTTGAGTTACTAGTACCTTCCAGCTGTTGTGATTTTGTGGCTTTATGCTGGCATGTATTTATTATTTGGAATTCACCTTAAAGTTGTCTTGAATGTATACCAGAAAGAGTCCTACTTTGTTCTGGGATATCAGATGTGGACTGTCCAAGAGAACTGTTAAAACATTCCATTTAGTAAGAATTTTGTTACAATATAGACCAAGAAAATATTTTTTTTCAGAAATCACTGAAGTGTATGTTTAAGATAAATTAAACAGCTGCTTGAAACATTCTTCTTTTGCATCACTCAGTTCTACTCATATGAGTAGGACCTTGGGAATTTAAAGTTAAATTGAAAGTGAAAAAAAGTAAAATAAATATATTTTAGTAAGTAGACAAAATTACCTTCTCAAGATTATGATTTTATGTGACAAATTAGAATTAAAAAAATATAATCAGAATTTAAGCTGATATTTTTAATGTATGTTATATATTTATGCAATTTATTTATAATTTTATGTAATTTTCTTAGCTTCAGGTGACTGTTATCAATTTCAAGCTAAGTCAGACTCTAAACTCCTTGTTTTTAAACTGTAAAGTTAGATTCACTCTGGTGATATTGCTTAGTACTCTTTGAAAAGTATATCTGAACTTCAGATAAACCTATAGGTTGACCACAGTGTGTTGGATCCTAAGCATTAGCTTCTCTATGGAGACATACAGATAGTATTATTTTTCCTTATCAAGAAAACTTTTTGCATATTTTACTTCTGGACAACTTTGCTTTGTCTCATAACCAGCCAGGAAAGAAAGGGAGATTTCTACCTATTTTCACTATAATAGTGAAACTAGAGTCTGAAGGTCCATATAGAGTCTGAAGGTCTATATAGAGTCTGAAGGTCCTAGGCAAATCCCAAGTTCTTTTTTTCTTAGCTACTGCAGACATTTTCACCAATGAGATGATCCTGTTTGCAACAAATTAATGATCTTAATAAGCTTTTTTAGTGCACTGCTCTATATAGAAGTAAAATTTAAAGAGACATCTGCCTTCTTTTTTTGATGCCATGTCATTGCCTTTTGAACACGTGTATGATACTCAGACTTGGAAGGAACAGAGAGGAAGGGAGGGGATCTATTTCTGCCAACATAAAATTATACCAATTTTATGTGTGAAGCGAAAGATTAATTATTTCCACACTCAGTGCTAGAGATGTAAGAATTGATTTCATTTAGTGCTGGTGACTGACAAATGTGTGGTGATAACTCTTAGGTTTCAGGAGGCCAATGAACAGATTTGATATTTGTGAATCAGAAGTGATAGCCCTAGCATTACACTAGTGCTTAAATATATTTTGGAAAAAATCTGGTTTTCATACCACTCAATCACTACATTACATTCAATGTTTCAAAGTGCTACAGTTGTGCTGACTGGTTTGCTCTTTCATAAGTACTTTTAAAATACAGTAAATTGGTTATTTGAAAATAGTTATTTGAAAAAATAGTACTAGAAAGGATAGTGTACTTTAAATGCATAAAATAAACAGCAGTATAAAGTCTTGACACTTCATCTGCTAGTTTTATTCTACTCTAACCCAGGAGCTCCCACAGGACTCTTTCATGCGTCACAATGAATTACCTTTTCAAAAACTCCTGCAGAATGCAGCAGTAATAACAACAAATACTTATCAGCTATGTATTGATTTGAATCTGTTTTCATGTAGCTCTGTGAGGATGGGCTAACCCTGGTATCACTCCTCTGAGGTTCTCAATGCCATCTATCAAAATTCTCATAAGATTTTCAGCAAGATCACCAATTTTCAAAGTGCTCTATCACTGGTTTGTCTTTCTTTGCTAATTTTAAATTGCCACACAGGTGTTTCTTTACTATAGACAGAGATCTCCTAGTTCAGGGCTCAAATATGTAGAAATATTAAGGGTGGGCTTGTGATTAGGGTATATAGAGATGAACCCTTCTTGATTTTTATCTCATCTGATATTCATCCTATCTGAAGACAGAAGTCTCCAAAATGCTTTATTTCTCAAACTACTTAATCTGTAGATTATTATTTTCTTCTTCAGAATATGCAATAGAGATAAAACAGCTTGGATTAGGCTTTATGTTGTGATCTCCATATAAATAAATCAGTCTGTGTCTCTGACATTATACTGCATTCTCAAGTCTCAAACATCCTTCCTCCTCTTTCTGCTCCTTCACCCACTTCAATATAGTTGGTTTTTTCACTTTTAAATCTGATTCTGATGGCATATTCTGTGACCAAAACTACTTGAAGCTGGCAATAAAATCTCCATTATGATGTTTGCCATCTGTTATATTGTTTTAAACTCTCATCTGCATTCCGTGCTACCTCAGTAAAGACAGGCATCCCTTATGTCTGAGTAGGATTTCAGGTTTTACTTACACACAGGAGTATTCTTCCTAATCTCCAAATGTTAATGTGAGGTGTTCTTATTCAGGTGTCTTTTGAAGGGCTGCATGACTTCACTGTTTATAGTTCACTCAGTTCAGAACATCTTAATTTATGAAAAACAAATAAGAAAAATAAAAGTTCTTTCTGTGAACACCAATCTTGATCTAAATATGGTACTAACTTCTAATATTTGCATTTATACTAAGATTTTATGCTGTATTTGTGGGATGGATATGATTAAACATCTATTGTTTAGCTAGAAGAACTGGAATTTAATTATGGTACTTGATATATTTCAATAGAATTGAATGTAGACTTCTTTTTAGTCTTACAAATCTATCCAGAAACAGTCTGTGTGTATTCCCCATTTGAAAATTCTATCTACAGCTGGTGGTTTGTCTTTGAGACATGTCTTTGAGACTCCTCCTTATGGAGGAGGTGTGGGAAATGAGGAAACTCACAGAACAATCCACCCCATTTTGAAATAGGGAATATAGCCTTGCCCTGTTGTAGGGCAAAAACTTTCACACAGAAGGTGTTTTTACCCTCCACCTTTCTTAAGAGTACCATTCAGAATTAATTTTATAGTCCACATTAGGAAACTTGATGTATTATTCACTGTCAGGTCTATTTGAGCAAGGACTGTATCTGTACTTGGCTTTCTGGACCTGTGTACTTGCTTCTATGCTTTTTGGCTTAAAATTAGGTGAAACAAGGAAATGATATATTACTTTTCCATTCAGTATGTAACTTCTTGACTGAAACAGCTTAAAAGTGTCTACATATCTGGAAGACCAATCACAAGAAATTGGTTTTTTTCCCCCTCTCTCTAGGAAACAGCTTGGAGGGTGTCCATGTTGGTGAAAAGTTAGAAGGAAATGCATGGATCCATGGACAGAAGTAAGCTTTCCTCCCTGCCCTCAGTGTTCTACAGGCTGATAAATTACTCTTTTATTACTC